TATTTAAATAATGTTTATTCACTATGAAATATCAATCTAAGAATAACAAATGTAACTTTCACTCATATAACATCAACCCTGTGATGGCGCCTGAAACATAATAATAATAATAATAATAATAATAATAACAACAAGCATAATGGGTAATAAATTTAACAGAAAATCAAAGCTTTTTTCCAATCTGGTCCTTAAGGGAAGGAATTTAAAAATGTATAACAGTTCAATTGGAGGTTAAAAAAAACGTCTTGAGTTTCAAGTTCCTTGGTAGCAAAGAGTTTGGTTTTAGCTAGTTTCCAGCTTGATGGCAACTTTTGTATAAGCGTAAGACCTCTAGTATTTGATCTTATATTTTTGTTTCGTTAAATCCGCGTGGATTAGCTACGAAGATGGGCACAAAATCGATTAGTGATATCAGGAAAAAATTGCCCTGTTTGACGCTAATAGTTTCGACAAAATTTCACTTTTTATTACGATTGTTTCCCTACAATATTCTTGTTTCAAGCAAGTAAAGCACTGTTGGTGATAACATTCAGTTCTATTTCTGCCATCTCAGCCATTACTTTTTCCATTTTTTGATTTCCGACACAGCTTCTTAGATGGCTTTCTCTTTAAACCTTTAGAATTAGTGTTCAAGCCGCGTTTTCGCACGCAATGAATTATGGGAAGACTGCATAAACGGCACGAGCAACAAGCAACCCCTCCATTCTCAAATAAAACTTTTTTTCTAGTATATATTGTGGTTAACCAAACCGTTCAACCTCCTTCAGTTGTTCTTTCCAGTTAGTCAGGCTTCATCTTTTCTTCAGTTTACTACTCGAAATACAATGAGCAAGGAAGTACCTGTTCACAATGTCAATCACGATTGAAGTAACGAGTAGCGACGATCTTTTACTGTTAAGAGGGTCTCAATGGGGTTAACCGTGAGCCGTGAAACGGCTGAAAAATTAGTCGTGAGTCGTGAAATGGAGAAAAAATTAGCCGTGAGGCGTGAATATTCTTTATAGCGTGAGCCGTGATTCAGTTATATTCTTCAGAAGGACAGTCAACTCCAGGCGCGC